TATATACATATTGGACTTTAGATAATACGTATATATATGTATATGTATTTTTGACTAATGATTAGTAAACCCATTTGGTAATTCTCTAAAATTGTGAAGGAATTTTCTCTAATATTTGGTACTTCAAGGTAATTAAGGTTTATACATACATATATATATAAGTGAATAAACAATTATATATATATATATAATAAATAAAATTAAATAAAGTAGAAAAAATATGAAAAAGAGGGTTTCTAATAAAAAAAATTTGAACAGATTTAGAAGATTGGTTCGATTTACTTATTATATTTATCTTGTTTAGTTTGTTTCGTTTAATTTTTAGTCATTTTTTAAATTCAAGACCGAAATTGATCAAATTTTCTATTATGTTCGATAAAAGAAACCAAATTTTCTTAACTTTAACAAATTAAGTATACTTATAAACATAAGTATACATATATATATACACACACACACCAAAAAGAGTTATTTATAGTACAAAATCGAGAAAAGCAAGTTAGGAAGAAATCAAAGTTGATCTTTATGTGTGTGTGTGTGTATATATATATATATATATAGAAGAAAATCAGAGGCTGCAGGGAAAGGTTTTGATCAAGGTGATATGTACAATTAATTACTGTTCGTCACCATAGCTAGCTGTGGTCTTAAATTGTTCGTACTCTACGAGATTGAACCTTTAAGGAGGATGACATCGTGGACGTCATAACGTTTTTATCATATTCTCTCATGGGGACCATCGGCTTCTTCTTCATGACCCCATCACCGACCGATCATACACATATACATACATATACATGTCAAATATATATGTATATTATGATCAATAAGCGCGTGCATTGATTGAACAAGATACTTGATGATGAATTGTTGGCAAGAAACGTGCATATGTATTGATCATGTTCAGGCTTTCTCTTGCAGGACATTCTTTGTTGATAGCTAGCTAGGGACCTTATATATATATATATATATAAGTTAATCTATCTCTTTCTCTCTTAACATATATAAATGGTATAGAAATAAGATTGAGAGAGCAACAAAATTTCATAGGAAATCAGTAAACAGATAGGTCGCCATCAACTTAGAGACATATAGTGCCAACATTTCAATATCACCATTTTCGAAATTAGAAGATGGTGAACTTTTCCTGCTAAACCCAATATATATATACACCAAGAATTTTGCATATAAAATTATTTGGGTAAATTGTATAGGTCTCTAACTCTTAAAAGAATTAAACACACATATATACATATTTGTATAAGAACAAGCTTGTTCTCACTAAACATGTAGAGACTAACTTAACCCTTCTAAACCAAGGTATATATTATAAACTATGCCACATAATATATATACATGTACATGTACAAATAATAGTACTAAGATTTTGGTAGGAGATTTGGGAATAGAATTAACATATATACCACCCATTATCAGTATGTGAAAAAGAAATGTATGCCCAAAAATTCATATTTCTGATCAAGATATGCATATATATACACACACACACAAGCATATAGATTATGTAAACGATTGGATCTGATTACGTCGAACACCTTACAAGATAGTTAAACAGATCTTGTCAAGTGACAACAATTTTCATCACTAAATGCACAGATGACACGGCCTCAGATTCTTCTTCTAATCCAATCTATGTAGTTGACCAACAGAAAACTTCATATATATATATATATACACTTCAATTTTATAACATATAAGACATCTTAATTATATTCCTTCAAGAAATAATGGTTGCAAGGACAAAACTCCAATGAGAGACAAAGTAGGCCACAACTTCTGGCAATAATGCTAATGATTTAGATTAATTAATTATTTCTATCAAATATAATACGTTATTATCTGTAAGCTGAAGCTAACATATATGTATATATATATATATAGTGTATGATGTATTGTATATGTAGAAAAAGAAAAAGAAACTAAGCTTCAATAATTGAACACAATATTCTACCTTGGTGGTGCTGCCTCTGACATGATCGAACCATTAAATAATTTACTTCTGGCCTGTATATAATCATGTGAGCCACTGAAAAATAAAACACTAGCTACCTTGTCTTTCTTCTTCATGTTACTTATTCTTAAGGAATACATATGTACATATATATATGTATATATATTGTGAGCTGCCTGTCGAAGATAAAATTAAGAACTGTGCTTAAGATTCCAGTAAATTTCAAGAAATGGTTTGAATCGAATTTCATTTTATGCTACTTTAAAAACCACGGTAATAAAAATTGACTATCTGTGTGTGTCTGTATTTATTTATATATCATACATATCTTCTTTGAATGGGAAGTAGTAAGATCAGTCAGGTAGAGATAGAGAAACAAATAGATCAGAGACGTATATAGGGACTTGTACATATATATGCAGTATGCACAATATCTTGCAGAATTCCATATTAAATAAGTTGCTCCATCAAGCTCGGAAAATGGTATAAGAAAAGAATCTAGGAAAACCCAGGTGTGATATGAACTTTAATCCAATTTTTGCAGAGAATCTTTTAATAAAAAAAATGCTCGAGTAATCCAGAGACAAACATTTGGAAGGA